TGTGTAAGAAAATAAATAACATATATAAAATAGCATTTTTGATGAAAATTATTTCATCATGGCTATACATATATATGTGAAAGTATGTTATATCTAATATATCATACAGATTGATAAGGTTGGCTCTCTATTGTAGTTTGGTTTGAATTGACTCTATAAACCTAATTTTACTATTTTAGGCAAAACTTAGGTTGAGCAAAAGCAGGAACAAATTGCTTCTTTCCTAACCATGATTTTGGGCTTAAGCATGATTTAAAAAAAAAAGTTTTGTCGTTAGTTTTAAAGTTTTTGCCTGCTGTAATTTTGAAAATTATGTTGTTTGGTAAGCACTCTTAATCAAATGTGATTTTGGTTTCAAAACCATAGTATTCAATCCCTTAATTCTTTTTCAAATTCCTAGGTATCTTGGAAAAAAATCAAGCTTTGTTGAAATGTTAAAGTCACCAAAATTCACATATGCTCTGATTCTTTAGATGCTTTGTCACTTATTCAACACAACTTTTGCAAGAATTATCCCCTCTTTAAGATCACTAACAAAATTAGAGATTTTTTTTTTTATGCATGACATTTGACCATATTTTCATATAAACAAATATGTGTGTTGATCTCCTTGCTCATTAGGCACCTAGAGACAACTTTAATATTATTATCTACAGCGACTCTTCTTAAGATGAAGAGACCTAATAGTTTTTGATATAATCTAACTTTTTGTTCCTTACACGATTTTTTCATAGTTCTGTATTAAAAAAATACTTTTCTAAATAAGTATTTACTTTAGGAATGAGAGCTCTTACTATTAATGTCAATTTGAGTTGGTACGAGAAACCTATGTTTATGCATCGAGATTGCCATGTTTCATCAACTCCACAACTTTAATATTTAATTTTTCAAATGTCTTTGAAGCTAGGTGTTGGTGCCACATGTGAGTTATCACACTAAAGAATTGTAAAATGGTTCAATTGGGAACAATATTAACATCAATTGAAGAGGTTGTGGCTTGAGTAATTTTTTTACCTATTTATATATAAAGTTTAATTGTGATATTTAAAAAATCATAAACTATTAAAAGTAAATTAAAATTACTATGTTCCAACATTCAATAAAAAAAAATACCCAAAACGAATGGCACCTAAATGATGAAATTTATTATCTAGATCATGTAACTTTATTTTTTAAACTTTTATCCTTAACATAACAATTCCTTATAAAAAGGGAGATACACACTTACGTAGTATACAAACATGTTAGCACTAAATCTCATCCCAATACTTCTTTCATGTGAGGAAGATGGCATTGTGATATATTATTTCATTGCCACAACCACAAGGAATATCTATAAAGGTTTATTTATGAAATAATCAAAAGAAAATAATATTTAAGATTCTCTCAAGAAAATTTATCACAATAAAGACTCATTAATTTTATATTAAATATTATTTTAATTATGAAAACACTTACACGTTATTCAAAGATGAATCTTATAATTTGGATTTTTGTAAGAGTTTCCTTAAAAAATTTAACAAGTTAAAGTTTTGCTTTGAACAATAATATATATATATATATATATATTTTATAAGACAATATTCGATACAAAACTAATAGACCTTTATTGTGATACATTCTCTTAAAAAAATTTTAAATGTCATTGTTCGTGTATGTACAATAAATACTGGGCATGCCAGAGATAACGAATCTCAATTGATAATAAAAGGGTCCCGAGCTCCCTTACCATAGTTCACTCAGATGTAAAAAATATACAAGGCTTGGTAGAATAAGTGTTTTTAATTTTTATTGAAATGTAAAAAGGTTATAAGTTTAAATTGAAAGTAAAAACTAACTGATAAAACTAAGAGCTATAGATACAAAATGCAAGTCTTTGATTGAGTGGTAGCTAACTTTTTTCTGTATATTCGTCTTTTATTTATTATGTCAAAGTAGTAATAGCCTCTCCCTTAAGACCTAAAACATTCTGTTGAAGAATCAAGGATCTTGTAAAACTCATGGCACGGTCTTTACTCTGCGTTCTTCATTTTTGGTAATCAACCTGTCTCGCCAAGATATTTAAACACAATGTCTGTAGATTTTAGAATCACTTGAGATCATGTCTGTACGTGCCAACAATCTAATGTTTGTAACCGGTGGAATTTTGACATGTTTATTCCCTCCTGACTTTCTATTAAGCTCGGGGTTGGCCCTCTTTGTTCAGATTGAGTTTGACTCTTCAATTACCTAATCCAAATAATTTCGTGATTTATTTGAGTGATGTTTTATATTTTAATCCAAAAAGTCATCCTGCCAATAATCAGCATACACAAAATGTATAAATTCCATAAGTTTTTATTTTTTTGGGTTTTTTATCGAGTCTTCTCTAAAAATTGGTGAAGTGTAACCTACAAGTATAATGAAACATAAATGTCCCTGACTATTAGCACATGCCTTCGTTATAAATTGTCTCAAACAATAAAATGAAAAAAAAAAAAAGTAATTTGGCCATTCAAGAGCTATATATCGGTTGGCCAACCCAAAAAGGCTAAATCATGTTCTACTATTTTTTTTATAAAAATAACAATAAAGGCGAAATAATCTAAATCGATCTAAACAATCTGAAAAATCACGTAGGAAATAATATAAATCTATAAAAAAATAAAAAATGACCAAATCCAAAATTAAAGAATTATTTTAAGCTACAGGACTTCATTTCGTTATATTCTTTTCTATTTTTAATTTTTTATCCTCTCTAGAATATTTCCTAGAATCAAACATGACCTCAATATAATAAAGATGCATTGAACCAGCATGCAAATGATAAAAAAAAAAAAACAGGGTATTAATCTAATTTGTGATGTTTTAGGTTAATTATATTAAAGTATCCATAAACAAATACTTTCTAAGTTGTTAAATGTTTTGTGGTCCATAAGAAATATCTTATAAGGCACTCACTCTATATTATCCTCTCCTCACCCTTGATAAAACTTGAAGCAGAAATTTTCGCCTCCCACAAAAAAAAAAAAAAAACAAACAAACAAAGTATCCTATCTAACCTATTCAATATTGTTATCTTCAAGTATAAAAAATTAAAGTGATAATATTTTATACAAAAATTATGTTAAATATCATTAAAAATCATGCCTCAGTAGTAGAGATTTTATTTCTTGAAAAATATTCTATTCAAAAACTTTTGATTCATATTCGCAATCTCCACTTTTATTCAATAAAAATGACTTGAAAAATTATAGAAAATAATCAAAAATATTAATACCTTATAAAAGATTAAGATTTGTCCCCAAAATTATAAATAAATTTCAAGAGATAAGCACTATTTCTTATCCAAGTAAAAGATTAAAATATCTTGACTTAATTGATACAGAAATAAATTAACAAGAATCTTATAAGAAAATTAATATCAATTATGTCACTTAAATTATAAATTAAGTCATTTAAATTATAAATTACAAGGGTAAAAATATCATTTCTCTCTTGAAATTAATTGATAATTTGAAGGACTTAAATTGATATTTATTCTTTATTGAGTACTTATTTTAAATTTTTAAGTCTTTTTCTGTAATTTTTAAATTTTTTTATAAGTTTTTAAGTCAATTAATGATTGAGCTTAGCATTTGTTGACGATGAAAACAACATCGATCATTTTCAATCGAATGTGGACATTGAAAAAAAAAAAAAAGATTAGAATACCAAAACATGGATAGCCAAATAGTTGGAGGCGAGAAAGCCTTTTCATCTTATTTATTAATTTATTAATGATTGGCTTATTGACTATTATTTCTAGCCACAAGCAAACGATTTAGATTTTTTACAATTAATTTAAAATCTGAAATAAAATAAATTCATATGTTAATTTTTTTAAAAAAAGTAAGCAATTGAAATAAATCACTATAGCAAAAAAAAAAGGGGGGGGGAGAGGGGGGGGGGCACATTAAATATAAGTTTAAATTAAGTTTTCAACTAACAAACCTTGACAGGCCTTCAATGAAGATTTCTAAAGCAGACGTATTCCTGTAAATTTTGCATTCACAGCAATATATACCAGAGTGGATATTGTATTCTTTGTATAGAGGTTAAAAATACCGTTTATTGTAGGTTTTATTACTTTTATAAATATACGTATGTTTACCCAAAAAAATATAAATATATTAACTAAGAAGCAAAAAAATTAATTTATTGGTTAATAATTAATATTGACATGCATCGTATTTATTTATAAAAAATGATAATAAAATTTATTTAAATTACATAAATGACAAATTGATTCCTCAAAATGTTATAATACTAATGAAATTTTTAAGAACTTCTTTATCAATAATTTTTTTTAAAAAAATTATTTTTTATTATTGATAAATTGTGATTTCTTTTTCAATTCTTATCATTTTTTAAAAAAAATTGTGATTCTTTAAACAAAAATCATGAATAAAGCTTGTTATTTTTAAAAATTTATTTTTCAAGAAGAGACATTAAACTTGAAAAATGATAATTTTTTATTCTATTCTTACAATTCACATAATGAAAATTATTATTCTTTAATCAAAAATTATAATTAAAGTTTATTTTTTATAATAAAAATTTTATTGAATAAGTTATAATTTTTTATTCAACTTTTATAATTTATATAATAAAATTATAATTAATAAAAAAACTTTAAAAATTTTATTAACATTATGATATTTTAAAAAATTAAATTATTATTTATATAATTTAAAAAGATTTAATCGTGATTTTACTTTTATTTATTTATGTTGTCCGGAAACATAATGTATATAGGCGAAAATGGATAGGGGTGAAACGACACGTGATCTAGCCTTGTACGGAAATGTCAGGAGTAGCTCTCAAGGCAAATCTCACATAACAAAATTCACTTACCGAAATTACCCTTCTCCGGAATGACGACACACGTGGTTCCTCCCCAAGTGTCCACGTCACCACGCGGGACCACTACGAGTCGGTCGGTAACCTTCAGCTCCCAAAACAACTCACCTGCGCAAACGGAACTAACAAACCCATCTCCGTCAATCACCACCACCACCGCCACTTCCTTCTCTTCACTCTGAATCGGAGAGGAAAACCAGAAGATCACAAAACTCACTTCGGCTTGGCTATCATAATCATAATTTCATTCCGTTTTCTTAAACCGCTTTGCATTCTCTTTGGTGATGTAGACGGATTGATTGAAAAGTGTTCCTCCACCGGATGAAAATTTCTCGTTTCGGAGTTCGCACTTTTCGTATGCACGGTCGGGAATTTATCATTGGGGAACTGAATTCGGGATTCCGAGCTTCTAGGATATGACTTTGCTGCGCAAATTGTTCTTTCGTAAGCCCCCCGATGGGCTTCTTGAGATCTGTGAGAGAGTTTATGGTACTTTCCTCATGCCAGATTTTTTTTTTCTTGCTCTTTTTTTATACTTTTTTTTGGGCTCATTTCATTCTCTCTTCTGACTGCATTTGTTGGATACTTTGACAAGCATTCTCTCATGGATAATTCGTCAAGTTGTTTTATATCATTTGGTCTGTTTGGTTGTTTGAGGAATGCGGGAAAGTGATGTGACGGAGGGTCAGAATCACTGAATCACGATATTTCTTTCCTTGTTTTTTTATCCTTTCTTGACTGTTTCCCCCTTGAGTGGGTTGATGGGACATGGCTGTGTCCTCTGAAATTCCCTGCCAAAAATGGAATAAATGGTTGGCAGCAACGTAGCTTGCAGTTTTAAGATTAAAAAAAATAATAATAATGAAGTTAAGCAATTGAATTGAATGTATATAGGGTATGGAAGAAGGGAAATTTCATTTTTCGTTTGCGTTTTATTCGTTTGTCCAGTTTTCGACTGCTGCTTCACGACGGATGCTTGGAATGAAGAAAATTATAAAGTCTACATGGACGGGATTGTTGCTCAACTTCGAGAGTACTTGCCTGATGCTTCGATCTTGGTCTTCAATTTCCGCCAGGAAGAAACGAAGAGTCAGATGGCGAACATCTTGTCAGAGTATGACATGACTATCATGGACTACCCTCGGCAATATGAGGGCTGCCCAGTGCTCAAGATGGAGGTCATCCACCACTTTTTACGGTCGAGTGAAAGTTGGCTCTCACTTGGACAGCATAATGTGCTGTTGATGCACTGCGAACGTGGTGGCTGGCCGGTTTTGGCTTTCATGCTGGCTGCACTCTTGATTTATCGAAAGCATTATAGTGGAGAACAGAGGACTTTGGATATGGTTTACAGGCAGGCTCCACGTGAGCTTTTGCAGTTTTTGTCACCGTTAAATCCAATTCCTTCCCAACTGCGGTATCTGCAGTATATTTCCAGGAGGAATGTGGCCATAAATTGGCCTCCACTGGACAGGGCACTCACGTTGGACTGCATCATTCTCAGATGTATCCCGGACTTTGATGGGGAAGGTGGATGTTGTCCAGTATTTCGAATTTATGGACAGGATCCTTTTCTTGCTGATAAAACTCCGAAAATCCTGTACTCGACGCAGAAGAAAAACAAAACCTTACGATTTTACAAGCAGGTGATATTTTATCATTGTGCACATCCATTTCAATCACTCTCTTTAGAAAATAAAAAATCTTCTTCTCTTTATGTGGATAGATGAAGAAAATTCAGTCGAGAAATTACGTTCTTTCTTTTGGTTATTTCCATCTATTGGTGATGTTCTAAGATATTTATTGGAGGCTGGCACTGATTGCACATATAAAATGCAAATATGGGATCTGGATTTTTTTTTTTTTTCCTGATAAGCAAACAGATATTTTCTGTTATAGACGAACTACTAAAAGCTGGAATTCTTAGCATCAATATTTTTTTTTTTTAAACTCTCTTTCGACTGAGAAGAAGCGATGATGTTGTGCATGAATTTGAGTAATCTGGGAGTTGCTGTGCCAAATTCTTTTGAAAAAAAGATCTCTGTTGTGCAATTTCTGAGGGTTAGTTTTCTCCATCATAGTCTACTTCAGTTTCATTTTTTTTTTTTTTTTGTGGAGACTTTAATTGAGGAGCAGCTTGGGATGAATCTGGAATTAAACTTTTGGAAGGTCAAAAATTTAAAAAAAAATTATATATTTATGAACATTGACAAACATATATGCAACATGGTTTTTTTTTTTTTTGTAATTTATAATTATTTTTCATATTGTCGCATCATATCGTAAGATATATCAATAATTGCATATGTGTCCATCTTTTTAGCCAATCTCTCTTCCAATATGATGGTACGATCATGAAGAAAAATATTTTTTCATCTTATTTTGCAAGTTTGTTTTTAATGATGTTTATATTAGAAATGACATCTTAATTGTTTATCTTGCTATGTGAAAGGTCATTAATAAATGAAGCAAGCAAGGAATCAAATGATAGAATATAAAGGCTTGTTTTATTTTTGTCTTATTTTGCAAGCTTGTTTTTTATGATGTTCATGTTCGATTTTTTTGTTTTCTTCAATATTTTGGTATAATGGAGAAATTATTAACGTATGTTTAATTGAGTAACATCAATCTCATAGTGCTTCAGGAAAAGGAAAAAAAAAAAATAATATCCTAGTGTTTTATTTGTTTCTAGATTTAAACTTTCCTGTTTAACTAAAATACTAAAACAAATTCAAAATTAAATTTTTTATAAAAAGAAAAAAATTAGATATAGAATAATTAAAAAATTTTCAATTATACTTCAACAAAATAAAAACGCTATAATATTGAAGAGGGGAGGAAGGGGGTGGTCAAGTCCAAGCACCCCTACTCTTGTAATTCAGTTGAGTTGGGCAACTGAGTTTTGGAAGCTCAGAAGTCTGGGAAATAAATGTTACATATGTGTGTGCATTTATAGATGAAGAAAATGTTGCGTCTTGTTCATTTTTTAGAACATACGAGTTTCATGTTAGGACTTAAGTTTGTCTTGGTCCGTTATCCAAGTCGTTGCACCAGTGGGGTAATAGTTGGAATCAGTTTTCTTTATAATACAATGTAAAAAGAGAGAAATCTTCGGCAAAAACGAAGGAGTGAAAAGTTCACACACTCTTCGATTAGGTTTGCGGATATGTACAAGGGTTTCCTGAGGAAAATTTCAACATTATCTTGTCAAATTCCACCATGGCTTCTTCGACATGCAACAATGTGGAGGAGTTCAGAGGGCTCTATTCCTTTGAAGCTTATTTTACTGGAATGCTAATTGTGCACTTAATATTGTGTCACACAGCTTATTTGTTTCCAAATTTCATACAAGATGAACTAGAATATGTCCAATTGTGGTAACAATTTCTGAATTCCTTGCTTCCGTTTGGCAGGGGGAGTGTGAACTAATTAAAATTGACATCAACTGTCATATCCAAGGTGACGTTGTGATTGAGAGCATTAACTTGACCAGTGACATGGACCATGAACGGATGATGTTCCGAGTCATGTTCAACACAGCTTTTATTAGGTCTAATATATTGATGCTTAACCGGGATGAAGTTGACATTTTATGGGATGCTAAAGATCTCATCCCCAAGGATTTCAGAGCAGAGGTATATATCTGTAAACCAATTTTAGTTTAGTTGTTTGTCAGATATTTCTAATATGAAATTTATTCTTTGGTTTTTGTTTGCATTAAGATCCTTTTCTCAGAGATGGATGCTGCTGCTGCTGTTATTGCGGATGGTACCTCATGCTTTGAGGAGAAGGAGGGACTACCAGTGGAAGCATTCGCCAAAGTTCAGGAGATCTTTAACCATGTGGACTGGTTGAATCCTAAGGCTGATGTTGCACTAAATGTACTCCAACAACTTAGTGCTTCAGTGCATGACACGATGGATAAAATTTCTACTCAGCAGCATGATACTGGATATTTGTTGCATGAAGAAGATCTTGAAGTGCCTCAAGTAAAACAGAATGAAGTGAAAAGGTTATTGCCCTTGAATAATGAATCCCTGGATAGTGATTTGAGTAAAAAAGTAGATAAGCCTATCAAGACCGGTGTTTCTCCACTACTACGTCGAAGCTCTGACATTATCTGTCAGAAGATGCCCATTACGTCTATGAGAACCTCAGAGTCCAGTAAACATGTGACAAGTTCTACAAATCTTGATGTAAATACACTGGTGGATGATCTTGCCTTGTCTAGTTCTGTAGATACTTCCAGTGAATCACTTTCACCAAAAACACCTCCACAGCATCCTTCCTTGATTAGTAAATCTAAAAACGTTCATGATACTCCACCTAACACACAATTACCTCCTCTTCTTTCCCCTTTAGGACCATGTTATCCTGTTACTGGAGAAATTGATGCCCAATCACAAGACAGAAGTGAGTCATCAATCTTTAGTTCAACATCTGGAGCTTCATTATCAAGTACCTTTCCAAATAAGGTTCCTCCTGACGCTGCTTCCCATCCTTCAGCTTCACTAATGACTTCAACTCTGCCATCTCCTTCCCCTACAACCTCTCTGAAGGAGATTCTACTTGTTAGAACAAAACCTGCTTCATCCACTTCATGCCCTCCAACACCACCCACACCCCCAACTCCTCCTCAAAAGGAGCATAAACTGGTTAGAGCTGTACCTCCCCCACCACCACCGCCTCCACAGAAAGAGCAATCATTGGTTGGAGCCATGCCTCCACCACTCCCACTAAGGGAGGAATCACATAATCAACTTGGACCTCCTCCTCTAAAGGAGGAGCCTAAAGTTAAAACTGGACCGCCACCCCTTCCACCACTTCCTCCAAAGGTGGAGCCACCTGTTAGTGTTAAGCCTCCTCCACCTCCTCCTCCTCCTCCACGTCTTCCTGGGAAATCTGATTCTACCACAGTATCACCACCACCACCACCACCACCTCCTCCTCCTCCACGTCTTCCTGGGAAATCTAGTTCTACCACAGTATCACCGCCGCCACCTCCTCCTCCCCCTGCTGCTGCACTTTCCTCCAAGCACCTTAATCCTTCATTGCAGAATTCTACATCCGTTCCTGCTGCTCCTAATGCTCCACCACCTCCAGTTCCCTTTAGCAAAGGAGATCTAAAATCAGGCAATGGTTTTCTAGGATATGCCTCTATTGGTGGTGATGGAAATATTGTGTCAAGTACAACAGGACCACGAGGACGAATTCTGTCTCGTACAATAAGTAGTATGAAAAATCAAAATAAAAAGCTGAAGCCATTGCATTGGCTAAAATTATCTCGAGCTGTGCAAGGAAGTTTGTGGCACGAGGCAGCGAAATCTGGTGAAGCTTCCAAGTATGTCTGATTTGGTATAGCTGTTCCATTTTCTATGGTTGATTGTCATTTTGTTATTCTGGTGTCACATGTTCCCTGCTTGCATTATCTTGATTCAGAGCCCCAGAGATTGATATCTCAGAGCTTGAGAGTCTCTTCTCAGCAGCAGTCCCAAGTTCAGCCCCTACCAAGAAAGTAGGTGTTAGAAGCTCAGCTGGGCCTAAATCTGATAAAGTACAACTGGTAATTTATATTCACTTCCAAGTTGTGCAGAGTGTTTATGATCATTTTAATTTGCATTAAATGTTTGTATTTATGCGGTAGGAAAATAGAACTGTGTTAAATAGTAATTATTTCACACACAACTGGTGTATGGATTACTTCACCATTCAGGTTTTTAGTGTTGTTTGTTTTGTTGTCATTAAAGTCTTAATAGACAAATTGAAGTTTCCAATGTGATGCACTGATTTTTGTTTTAAAATTATTAGAATAATATTGGTATATAATCATTGTTGTTAAAGGCTAAAGGTGCACTCAAGACGCAAAGTCTGTAAACGCCTTATGCACAAGGTGCTAGAAAGGCACGTGCTTGAGTGAGGCAAGGTGCTACCATATGAAAATGTATAATATATAGACAACAAAACCATAGATAAAATGATAAATATAAATTTACTGAACCTCCACATAAAATTGTGTCATATGAACAAAAATAATTTCTTGTAATAAAATTGTGTCATATAATTTCTTGGTTCTATAATATAACCAACCCATCTTGGCACCAGTGTATTCTGTAGCTTTTTCTTTTGATTTCATAATCTTGGAACTGTGACACTTTACTTGTTCAGGGTCACCTGTAAGATAGTGAATACCTTATCTGGTCATGATTGAAAGATTACATTGACTTCACCATTTATATGTGATTAGTATCTCCACTCTATACAGGTTGAGCACAGAAGAGCATATAATTGTGAAATCATGCTTTCAAAAGTGAAAGTGCCATTGCATGATTTGATGGTAAGATTGATGTTGCTTTCATTGCCTTCAAGAAATTTGGTATAAAAACTCAACTAGCTCTAAATTATAAGTATTGCCTGATTACTGATCAAAAGACAGTTTTGTTCTTTGATTCATATTTGAGTTTATCTGCATTTGAATAAAAAATATAGGCCATTTGCAATGTATTAGTGACATATGTGCATAAGAACCTGAATCATGTTGATGATTTGTTGGAATAAGCTGTAAGTGGTGTTACTCCCTCTCTCTCTTTTCTAAAATTAAAAAAAAAAAAAAACATTTTTCCCCCTTCAACTTGATATTGCTATCTCAATCTATTGGAAAGTGGGTGGAAAACTTTTAAAACTTGTTTGTAGAACACCAACAAAATCTCAGTCAACCCCAATCCATGCAATGAAATTTCAGGCTTGCAAACCCTCACTGCTGCAAACAGATTGATAGTGCTAACATTGCAATATTTTTCTGTATCCGATATTTTTGATAGTGTCAAAACCATCATGAATCGACATGTTCTAATTGGGTTTTTTTTTTCTTGGGTCAATCATGTCTTGTTTGGAATATTCCAGAGCTCAGTGCTAGCACTAGAGGACTCAGCCCTTGACATTGATCAGGTTGAAAACCTTATAAAGTTTTGTCCTACAAAAGAGGAGATGGAATTACTCAAGGTTGGTGTTGATTGTGATCAAATACTTTGCTAGGTTCAGATGACTAATTTTCACGGTAGATTCTTCAGATGTCCAGAAAACTTTTGTTGAAAGTTCTAGTACTTTTGTATGACGTGTCACTTCTTCCTTTCAAATTTTTAAACTTCTACTGATTGTGGTAAAGGGCTATACTGGAGAAAAGGAGAAGTTAGGGAGATGTGAACAGGTATGTAATTTTCACTCCTTCCACACATCATTAGAGTCATAGGGCTATAAACCTATAAGTGATAACGAATTTATGAATTAATTTTCCAATGAAGTTCATCATTCATTTGGATTGTTATGCCTTCTTTAACTTCCCATTACAGTTCTTCCTAGAGTTGATGAAAGTACCACGGGTAGAGTCCAAGCTCAGAGTGTTTTCATTCAAGATTCAGTTCCACTCTCAGGTGAGAAAGGGTGTCGTGCAGTGGTTACAAGAGGGGTAAAAAAAAAAGCATTTATTTGATATAAATCTAATATGAAAATATTTATGTAGGTTTCTGACCTCAGAAAAAGCCTGAATATTGTAGATGCTACTGTAGAAGAGGTACATTATCCTTTTTCTACTCAAATCCTCTTTCTATGAATTGTTGTTCTAACAATGTTCATTTCTTTTTGTGGTGAGAAATGACATTCTAGATTTGCTGTGTGATGATTATTATCAGATTAAGAATTCTGTCAAGTTGAAGAGAATTATGCAAACGATACTTTCTTTGGGAAATGCTTTGAACCAAGGAACTGCCAGGGGTAAGTTAACATAGATATCTGAAAAATATAGGTTGAATGCATCATTAACTTGACAAATTCCTTTAGCATAGAAAATTACCACCATGTTAAGAACATATTTGTAACTCAAAATTTAGAACATTTACATGCTATATTGGTCACTAACAGCCCAATGTTACAAGGCCTACATACTGGCACACTGTCAATATATTCCTAGTTTATTTCAAGGTAGAAATGCCATCTAGTGTGTTTGAATATAATCTCTACACTTTTGCTTGCACCACATTACCTTAGGGCGTGCTCAGATGGGAAATAATGAAGGGAAGGATTTCATTGCATCTTTTCCCTTCTTTGGGAGTTTGTTATGAGGAGTGGTGCAAAGACTCGACAAGGCTAAAGAGATTCCAATAAAAGTCATTCAAAGATTCTTCCCTACTCCTCTGGTTGTATACCAGCTTAGTATGTGAGAGAGAGAGAGAGAGAGAGAGAGAGAGAGAGTCTGTTTGTGTGATTTCAGACGTAACTATAGGAAGATATATTGTCAATCTCCCAAGGTTATCATAGTTTATTTTCTCCCATTGTTTAGGTTCTGCTATTGGATTCAGATTGGATAGCCTTCTTAAACTCACTGAGATGCGAGCACGGAACAACAAGATGACTCTCATGCATTATCTTTGTAAGGTGCATGTTGATGCTTATTCCTTTTCTGATTCATGAATTCTTTTTTCGATCGCTCTTCTTGCATTTCTATTAAAAGAATTCTTCTTCATTTTGTAAAAGATAATGTTTGATCTTATGCTTATCCTTAGGTGTTGGCTGACAAATTACCAGAAGTTCTAGACTTCTCCAAGGATCTTGCTAACCTAGAGCCTGCTGCCAAGGTTCTGGACTTCTCTAAGGATATTTTCTTTTTATTATGTTGCAATTATGGTGATGGACTTTTTAATATACTCCCCTTGGTGTTTTTTTTATAAGTACCTATTAACAACTTTACATGAATTAAGGAAATCAATTAAAACTAGCTGAAGCTTTTAAAATTTCAAAATCATCCCCATTGACGTTATTAATTAGAGGTGGTTTTTTTTAGGATATTAACTGAAGGATATTTATTGGGAAAAAAATTAATTCTTTAGACAAAAAGGTCTAAGGATCAAGGGGAAGGTCCTTATAATAAATTGGAGAGAGTGATAGGCATGTTTTAGCACTAATACATATTAACTATTGCAGATCCAATTGAAGTTTTTGGCAGAGGAGATGCAAGCTATAAGCAAAGGATTAGAGAAAGTTATCCAGGAACTCTCAACCTCTGAAAATGATGGTCCTATATCTGAGACATTCCGCAAGGTGCTTATATAATCATGCCTTTTCTTCTTTTGTAAGTTTGAAGGTGTTCAAATTAGTCTCAACCCCCATGTCACTATGATGCTTTTTTCTCTTATTCACTTTTTTCTGCTCCAAGTTATCAACAAGAAGGTTTATCACATTAAGTGGAAATCGGCTACATGGATTGCATGATATTATTGTGCCCTATCATTCACCAAAGTTTTAAGAGTGTTGTTGACTAAGAGCTTTCATTCAACAATTTCCATAAATATTCTCTTTGGCTTTCCTCTATTCCTCTTTAAAGGGTTCAAAATTATCTATTCCACCCTTCCCATCAGTGTCTCCTACGGTCTTCTCTGTACATATTCAAACCATTTCAAACAATTTTCTACTAATTTTCCCTCAATAAATGCTACGCCTACTTTTTCCCACATATGCGCATTTCAGATTTTATCATTATGTGTATGTCCACACATCCATCTCAACATTCTTATCTCTATTACTTCAGCTTTATACTTCTGCTATCCCTTTAAAGCCTAACATTCACTGCTGTAATGTTCGTCTTGACATTACTAGAACATAATACACAACTCCATTATGATAAACAAGATTAATTAATTCCTTATATGTTATCATAACACAAGGGTTTAAAATCAAGTTTAAAAGTTTGAGATCTCAAGAAACCTTTTTAGAAAAGAGTGTTAAGCTTAAACCGTAATTTAAAATACATGAAAAGAAGTAATAGAAGTATAGAAACATAAATTAATCCATACAATGATCAAAAGAGGGCAATTTGGACACTTCCTAAATTGCACCATTTGCCACGATGCATGTGTCATCTATTGCAACGGATGGCACAGAAAGTTAAGCCCTTTCATTGTGCAGTGCGCTGCAGCGCATTGTTGCTGTCATGATAGCACATTCAGTCCAACTTCTTAAGTGCACTGTTTCGCCATCTAATGTCTAATTTTGAGCGATTCAAGTGTCCACATGTGACTTTTTGAGCTACCTAGCTATTGGCACCGGTTCCACGACCAAATACTTCACCATTTAAAAGTTGGACAATCGAGCACAAAATTACCCCTTTTTCCTTTCAAAACTCAGCCCCAAGGTGTCTAAAATCATCAATCAAGTGCCAATAACTTTAAAATCACTTGAACTAATTCGATTGGATCACAATATATCTAATTGATCAATTATACAACAAAAATTACATTCCAAACATAATTTGACCATTAAAAACCCCGATTTCACAATAATCAAGAGGCATAACCAAACATCTCACATAACAATCCCAGCCAATCATGTACATACAATTAATTCAATAACAATACTTACACTAGTATTTTGACCTCTTACAATAATTTTCGGCAAAAAAACAATATTCTTAGCCAAAATACACCAAAACAACATAATTCATCATGTAAGTGCATCAAAACAACATATGTTTCTAAGTTAGCATATTTTATACAAATGATTTGTTACTCTACTAATATAGAAAGGAATAACTATATAAACTCAAGCTTCTCGAGTCCCCCTTCCCTTTGTTTCTATCGAAGCCTTCGCCTATAAAATGTAACCACGGAGTGAGCAGAGGACTCATTAACCAAATAATCTAATTTATTTACAAACATACAATAATAGCATATGAGTGTATGAAGTGCCAAGTAAAACAAGTCATCGGATACATATCAAACACATGCTTATCATTTACCAATTCCTATAATATTAATCAACATTCTCCACCTTATATCCTCCTCATTTCGTCTAATTGAATTTATGGGCTAACAACATAATAGGACTAAGTCCATGTGATTGTACAGGCCCAAACTCACCAGTCATGGGAGAAAACCCTGGCAAGGACGGCTTCGCCCATTCTTGGACCATAAAATCTCCATCTCAAACATCAATGGTGTCATATGCCCAATTTATCTCAAATAGTACTGAAACTTCTAAATAAGAGATATTGTGCACCGGAGCCTCCACGATGCCAATGTACCATATAGATTTTATACAATATCCCTTGACAATTCTAGAGTAAACTCTCACCTTCTCACAATGATCATGCTCATACAACATCAACGATACATATCGTTCACAAGAAATGATCATACAATACATACTGACATTTCATATTCATATCTGATTTTAGAATTTGTACAAATACACAAAAGAAAATAGTTTTCAAGCATAGAATAATAATTTAGATCAATACCACTTCATACAGATTTTCCAAAACATGAACAAATCATGTATAATTCAAAACTTTCATAATAGAATATATATACGTTTTCGCAAACCCATAACCACTCAAATACTCAAATGAAGGATTTTATATAATTATCTCAACCTTTTTGTGACAATTTGGTTACTCCACAAGGGTTCACAAGCTCAATGGGGCCCAATAAATATTTGATTTACAAAATTAAACACCAATCATTAATTTTAACTCTAATTCAACCCTTTTTTTAGGCTAAGTTTGACTTTAGGTACCCGTTACATCCAAATTCTCTCTTTAGCAAAATGAACACTTCCAGCACATTTCAATAATTCATTTAACACCTAACATTTAGATAACATCAATTCTTTACTCATGTTACTCCTAATTTTTTAATTTTCACTTGGGGTTTATTCAAACTCTAACCAAAAATTTCAAATCACTAGAAAATCTTCAACCTTAAGTTTAGAAGCTTGATTAATTCCTCAAGGTCTTAACTAAGTTAATGAGTTTGGTCAAAACCCAAGTAGAAACAAAATAATGCCCAACACTTCCCAAACTAATAGAAATTTTACATAGGGAAGGAGAGTAGTTAAAAGGCTTACCCAATGTGTGGTGAGCTCAAAATGTTTCCAAATAGCTCTAAAAGTAAAGCCCTAGTAGGCCTAAGCTCTACGTCTATCGTCCTTCATGTATTCCTCTTTCTCCTCTTCTATTTTGATCGTGTGCGCATAACTGATTTATGTAGATTTTTGCACATCCCACGGCGTATGGCACAGTGAGTTCAAACTAAATTTTAAGCCTCACTTGATGCCCATTCTGCACGAACTCCAAACTAGTCTTCTTCTAAAGCTATCCAATAATCCAATAACTTCATTAATGGTTCGAAAACATCATTAATTCATTAATCATTCAATTTTATCAATTTACCTCTTTAAAACACTAAAAATTCAAAGTTTGAAAATTGAGCCATACAATGCATCACTCACGGATGACGACCTAGCATTAGTACAAAACCATCTATGGTCCATATCCATATAAGATTCAGCAAAGTTTCACATTTGCTGTTAAGAGCTTAATATAACCTTCCTTCTTTACTCGGGCTTGGGACCGGCTATAAACATGGACAGAGTTGCTCCAAGTTATCAATCTGCATTGATAGTTACATCAACATGAATAATCTTTATCAGGTGCTCATATGTGACGTTAAAGGCCATATCAGCTTGCTTCTTATATCATGTTTCTTTATCTAAGTGCATTCGGTAGTATAGTTGGGGTTTAATTTATTCTTCTTTTCTTTCAGACTCTGAAAGATTTCCTCCGTTTTGCTGAAGCTGAAGTCCGATCACTGGCTTCACTATATTCTGGCGTGGTAGGCATTTGAGCGCATGTTTTTAAAGATCTTTTGGGCCATATAAAAGATTTTCACTTTGGAGAGGCCTGTATTTTACAGGGAAGGAAAGTAGACGCGTTGATTGTTTATTTTGGTGAAGATCCGTCTCGCTGCCCTTTTGAGCAAGGTGCCTGTCTTTCTTTCTTAGTAATGCAACTTTCCCTTTTGTATCTTTTACAAGAATAAGCACAACCATGTCTAGGTTTTGGTTATGATTTTTGAAACCTTGTACTAGAGATTATAATTCCAACGAGTAGGTTGTTGCATTCAGATGATTCGTTCGTTCTTTCTACTATCATCCATGCACTTGTCATTGTCATTATGTTGAAAATCTTTATAAAAGTCTAATGCAGTTAGTTGATCTATTTCCTACGACATCTGCTGTTATTATTGAAGGGTATCTTGTTGCTAATTCTTTTGCTTCAGTTGTGTCAACTTTGCTCAACTTCACGAGGATGTTCAACAAAGCCAATGAAGAAAACTGCAAGCAGCTTGAGTTTGAAATGAAGAAATCATCTGATAATGAGAAAAAGATATGCGAATCACAGAGGATACTGCCGACAGCAATCAGGACTGGTAACGTCAAGTGATCAGTAATTGGATGAACAACTAGCTGTGAGCCAGAATGGCTGATGATGTTGGGCAAGCTTGTGCATGGCACAAGTATCAGAATCTGGCGATTTGCATTGCAGAACAGAATGTAGGAGCTCATTATACTGCTTAAGTGAGGTAAATTAAAACTCTGAGCTATGGTTTGCCGAGTCTAGTTGATTTGGAATGTCATTTTCATTCATTTGATAATTGTGTATCTTATGGCAGAGGTAGAAGATCTGGCATGATCTTGTTCTTTGTCAGCCAACTTGTATATATATCTCCCCTCAGAAAATGTAACATTGTCAGTAATTTACAGGAAAGAAGGGATTTGTTATTTATCTCTCCCCTTCGGATTTTTGTTCTCCTTGTTAGCAGCTCACGTGTTGGTACCTGAAATGAAAATATTTGGACATCATCTTGTGTAGCTGCTGATATATATACTAAGTCACAGTCAGTCATTGAAGAATGAACTTTTAGATCATAATATTCCTTCCTTGCTATTAAAGGCATTATAACGTGAAGGATTGATGCGCAAAAAAAAAAAAAAAAGGATCGTTGTTTATTAAGTCATGGAAAAAATAGATGCTTGAAAATAAGAGAATTCAACGTATGCTTTTATTTTTTATTTTTTATCACATTCTCTTTTTTATTATTTATCAATATTATTATAAAGGATTGGAGGTATGGAAAACGAATCGTAGTTTTGCAAATTTTCTCAATGGGCTTCTTTTTTAATTCTTCTTGGCTTTTAATACTTTATTTAATTCATTAATTGTTTTTTAGTATTGTCTTTAAGTCTACACTGGAATGATCCTGTCTCAGTCAAAACTACTTGTAGATGACTTCTTTTGTCAACATCTTCTCCATAGGTGGCGGAGTTTAAATTCTTTATGAATAAGGAAAATAATGAATTGACAAATGACAAGACCTAACCTCGATTTAGAATGAAAAGAAAATAAGGAGATAAAATTAAGGTAGAAAATTGAAAGAAAAAGATATTTTTCTGTTCCTAGCATAAGTTGAAAAAACACAATTATTAGTTCTCATAATTTTATTAATTTTTGCTGTAAATTTTTTCAAAATTTTTCGTGCTTGAAAGCATTAAAATTATAAGAACCATTAAAATTATAAGAATCTGAATAACAAATGTTATCTAAACTTGTTGAAACTATAAGAACTGAAAATATTGAGAGAAAAAAAAATTACAATGACTGAAAGTAAAATTTGATGAAATTATAAAGTTGATGATTTTATTTTTCCTATAAGACTTTAATTCCCCCCCCCCCTCTAGAAGGAAATTAGAGAAAAAGAATAGTAAAAATATATTTTTCTTCTAGTTTTTCCCTCTTCATATTTTCTTCTTATTCCAAACAAAGTCTAAAGGAGGTCATCACAAGGGATGCACCGGACTACCTGAAATGTGAGGGAAGTACAATTTCATATAATAAGGATGTGATCACAGTCAAAAGAGTTATTTTAGAGAAAGGTAGAGAAAATAAGTGAGAAAAGAGGAACGTACATCTTTCTAAACCTACATATCAGCTTCAATTATTGCTAGGTTTGGTGCTATGGGAACTAAACGACCATTAAGAAAAATCCAGGAATCTGAGGTTGGAGATCAAGAATGAGAGGAGGATGACTTGGGTTTGGTGAAATGTAACCAAAACTGATGTTCATTGGTCGAATGTCTCAATGATTTGTGCTTTTCGATCAATTCTTTAAGTTGGGTGACAAAAGCTTTCACTATTAAACTTGTCTGGAGAGCTTTTCTGATTCTGAGTGTTCATTATTTCTGTCATGACTCGCACATTTGGTGATCGAAAACCAAAGTAAGATTGCTTGTGGCATTATGTTATTACTAAGAAAGCAGACAACTAGGAAGGTCCCATTTGCATTTTGCAATTCCTGGAAGCATATCCTTTGTATATGTAGATAGTTAATGCAGTTTGATATTATAAGATACTTTTAATAAAAATCCAATGAATTAGTTAATTGTATTTTAAAATTATACATTCTTTTATATTTATAAATTAAAAAATTTTATTAGTTACACCCCTCAATTAAAGGTATTTTTGAAAAATTTTATTAATTTCACCTTAAAAGACTAAAAATACTTTATATTTTTTAACATTTTATCTAAAAACTTATTTTTAAATGGAGGGAGTACATACTCTCTTCATATCTACCCTTAGGTAACTTAATCACAAATAAATATACAAACACTACTTATTTCAAGGGCAAGACTTATATACTTAACTTTATATATTTAATATACTTTTATTCAATCAAATTAAGATATATAAATCTTAATGTATTAATAATATTAATAACGAGAGTTTGTTATAGAAAGTAATATATAAAACATCTACCTATCTTAATTTAATTAAAAACAAGCACCTTAATTACATAAGGCTAGGTATATAAGTTTTTTTAAAATTTTAAATACTCTATTTGATCTTATTTATAAGTCACTTTCACTATATTTCTTTAAAATCAAGAAAAATATTAAATCTTATTAATTATATCTAAAAATTCAATAAGTTTTTAACTTTACCCTATTAAATATGCATACTTTAAAAATAAAATACTTCAGTATTTAATAATCATTTCAACATGTAATAGGAGTAAAAGCATAAAAGTGGACATAAAAATCAGATAGGTACCCTATAAATAGGATCAAAATTAATATTCACTATAGGACCAAAACATATTTTAAAGGTATTTTTAAAAAAATTTCATTAATTAATCTTAAAGCAACCAAAATATCTTATATTTTTAAGCATATGGTTTCTAAAAATTGCTTTATAATTGTGGATGGAGAGATTGTGTGTGCGTTATGAAGTTGCTCAATCGTTGGAAAAAATTTTATATATATATATATATATATATATTCAGATTTAATTTAGTATTAATAGATGTCATATAATTATAATGCATGCTACCTCTGATCCAAAAAAAAAAGGTAATTTCCACCAGTTAGTATTGATCCAAAATGTAGAATAGCATTAATTTCTTATTTTCCACAAATGGCTTTATTAATTGTATTGTAGAGAAATTATATAAGAAAAATATTAAGACACAAAAAATTAATTTCAATTGTAGAGCGTAGTGCTAATTTTTTATCAGTTTAATAATACAAAAAACTCTGAACTATATTTCTTAATTTTTACGAAATTAGTTAAAGTATTTTATATTTTTAGAGCGAATGAATTAATACATAATGGCACCCGCAGATCATGCAAATGACATCAGGGCTTGTCCCTCAGTGAATGTATATTTTATTTTCGTATTATTTTAATGAAACATCTTAATAATGCAATGTTAGGTTTAAATATTCCAACATGTGTTGTGTAAGAGATTATACGCTGCTTGTATTATTAATTTTATTCTGTCTCGTACACTGCGACGCATTATATATATTAAAAGACGTATGAATAGTATGGTGCGTTTGAAGTTAATTTAATATATTATCTTATGCTTTTTAATATTTTACATGACCTTTGACTCATGCATGAACTTAAATTAATTAATGAGTATCAATCACATCTCTTCAAAATAATATTACCTTAGTACCAAATTATAAAATATTTTTAAAAAAAATTTAATATCTCAAAATATAAAACACTTTAAAAAAGTTAAGATTTCATTAAATAGATTTATTTTAATATTATTATTTATCTTCTACTTAATTTATGTCCATATCTTTTTTCAATATATTAAATCAAAAGTATTTTTAATTTTATATTTTTAAAAAAATATTGTTAAGTGTATTTAATAAGTTTATTGATATGTAAGATTTTATCTAAAAATATTTTATAATTTAGGACACAGTAAATATTTGTCTGTTGTTGGCCGATAGGAATAATATTTAACTATTTTTTCCTCCTCCGTTATATTGTATTTATTTTCATAAAAAAGTATTTCTTATTGCAAGTTTTTTAGAATTTTAAAATAATATTTAACAACATTTTTCCTAATAATTTACTTTAAGAGTAATTTATGGTTTATTATAATAATATTCTTAGACCAACAAGATTAGGTCCAGCAAAGAGAATTAATCATTAATCCCAATGAGTCAATATTAAAATTATTTGAAAGACATACCCATATTTAATATCTAACATTCAAATATAATTGACTCCAATAAAAAGATACCTATAAGCAATCAACAAAAAAAATATAATTTTTTAAAGACAAATTAAAGTAGAGACGAATTTGGTAAAATATATCATATGTTTACATGTTTATTTTATTTGTTTAAAACATTTGCAATAATTAACTTTAGAAGACAAATATAATGAATGGGAGAGTATATTAACTTGTCATTTTAACATTATCTGGTTGAAATTCAAGAAATCTAAAAAGTTGGTCATAGACAGATTACAATGACATCTTGCTACATGTGTGTAAGCTTAGCAATTTACATAATTACTTATTTAATTAGCTTTAATTTATTCGTTTAATAATTGACCCTTTCTGTCACATAAAAGTATATCCATCTAACATAATCTTCCTTTAATATTATAAGATATTTTCTTAAAATATTATATTCAAAAATATAAAACATTATCAAATCTAAGTCTTTCAAGATACAATTAATATTTTTTTCTAAAAATATCTTAAATTAGTAGCATAATGTAATGAGTAATCCCTTTGTTAAAAAATATAAGGTATATTTAACTGAATCTCACTCAAATAAAGTAGTTAATTATTTCCAAATTAACACAATCTTTTTATATTTATGCTTATTAAATAGGGATATTACTTTAAAATAAATGTAAAGTGATTTATTTATTATGTGTTCTTTTAAAAAAATCACATTAATTGTAACTTAAAACAATAAAAATGTTTTACATTTTTTAACATCCAACCATTTAAAAATATATTATATTTTTTAATAGAAGAAGTAATTATTAAGGTTGTTTAACTGAGACACTCTATTAAACAAGAACAAATATGAAAAGAGTGCGTAATTTTAATACAACTTATTCATTGAGAATATAATTCAATTAAAAATGCTTTATAATATTTAAGAGAAGGAATAATAATTTAGATTTATATATTGTTGGACTTTATATGAAAAGTAATTCTTTCAATGTCATATTTTTCATATTAACTTGATATTTATTTAAAAAATATTGACTCTTTTGTTTCACTAAATTTCAATGATTGATTCTAACTTTAGCGAGTTGTTCATATCTTCTAATTTTTTGTGCCTCGAACAATAAAAGTATAAAACAAGTCCATCGAGTGAAAAGATTCCAATATTAGTTTAATTATTAAGTAAATAAATAAATAATGAAAGCGGCCATTGTTTTTGGCAAAGGCAAATATATTATTTGGGTACTTGAAATTGAGATTGTCAATGAACAAGCAGACGCAGAACATGTAATTTAATGTTTCGATTGCTTGGTTCGCTCCTAAGTATAAGACCTGGTTCACTTATTTATGGAGATTAAAAAAATT